GATTAAAGGCTTCTCTGTTCCAAGCTCTTGATTAAGAGCTTGTTTTAACTAGCTCTTCAGCGGGTAATAGCTCAGTTTCTGCTCTTTATTGCAACTGTGTTTCGGCCTGTCTGCCTCTGCCGGGCATGCCAGCCTCTGCTGGGCCTGTCTACTTATGGGGCCGCTGCTAGGTCTGTCTACCTCTGAGGGACGCCGCTGCCGGGCGTCAGGCCACCGCCGGGCGTACCTGCCTCTGCCTGCCGCTGCCGGGCCTGTCTGTCTCTGCCAACCACCGCCGGGCCTACCTGCCTCTCTCTTTTCTTTAAAATGCTGGCCAGCCTTACCTTCAGGTGTCCATCAGCACATACCTGCTTTCTCGGATCTCTGTGGGACCTCCACTTGTAGTGGTAACACCCATGTTACCAACACCTGTTCACCATATCTGAGCAAGGGGCTGTGGATCAAAAAACAGAGACAAAAGATAGCTAGTCATAAGACTCAGCAGAATGCCGAATGTTGTTTATTGAAAGAGGGAGGAGGCCTTAAATAAAGGCTTACAGAACAATGGGAGAACCCTGGAGGACAGAAGTTTGCTACCAATGTTTTACAATCTTGCATCTAAGCTGTTAATGCCCAATATGCAGGATACACACAAAAAAGGAACTTCTCTTAAGCATTCAGGAGGGTGGAAACTTGCAGGGAATTAGCATAGGAGGACATCAAGGTCAAAGTCAGCAAGCAAGGCAAAAGCTACCCAAAACGGGAGCCAAGGTCCTACACTCCAAAATATATAAAGAACTAAAGAAACTAGACATCAAAATACCAAATAATCCAATTTAAAATTGAAGTACAGATCTAAACAGAGAATTTTCAACAGAAGAATCTCAAATGGTTGAAAAACACTTAAGGAAATGTTCAACATTCTTAGCCGTCAGGGAAATGCCAATCAAAACAACTCTGAGATACCATCTTACACCTCTCAGAATGGCTAAAATGAAAAACACTGATTACAGCCCATATTGTAGAGGATGTGGAGTAAGGGGAACACTCCACCACTGCTGGTAGGAGTACAAAATTGTACAACCACTTTGGAAATCAGTATGAGGGTTTCTCAGAAACATGGGAATCAATCTACCTCAAGACCCAGAGATACCAATTTTGGACATATATCCAGAGGAAGCTCAGTCATCACACCACACTTGCTCAACTATGTTCATAGAAGCATTTTTTTTTTGTGATAGCCATAACCTGAAAACAAACTTGATGCCCCTCAACCAAAGAATGGATAAAGAAAATGTACATTTCCACAACGAAGTACTCAGCAGTAATAAAAAATGACACCAGGAAATTTGCAGGCAAATGGATGGAACTAGAAAAAAATCATCCTGAGTGAGGTTAAACCAGACCCTCAAACACAAACACGGTATGTCCTCATTCATAAGTGGATATTAGATGTAAAGCACAGGATATCCCGGCTACAATCCACAGCCCCAGAGAAGCTAGGTAACAAAAAGGACCATAAGAGGGACACATGGATTTCCCTGGGAAGGGGAAATATATGAGATCTCCTGGGCAAACTGGGAGTGGGGGCGGTGGGAAAGAAGGAAAGGAATGGAGGGATGGGAGAATGAATGATTAGAATGGTTCAACTGGGATGGGATGGAGGGGTAGAGTAATGAAAGAGATATCTTGATAAAGGGGACATATGGGGGTTATGGAGAAACCTGGTGCAAGGGAAACTCCCAGGAATCCACAAGGATGACCCCAGCTAAGACACTAGCAATAGTGGAGAGGGGGCCTCAACTGGCCTTCTCCTGTAATTAACGAGGTGACTACCCTAGTTGTCATCAGAGAGCCTGCATCCAGTAAATGATGGAAGGAGACACAGAGATCCACAGTCAACGGCTGGGCCAAGCTCCAGGAGTCCAGTTGAGGAGAGGGAGGAGGAATTGCATGAGCAGGGGAGGTCAGGATCATGATGTGGAAACCCACAGAGACAACTGAAACAACTAGTGGGAGCTCACAGACTCTGGACCAACTGCTAGGGGGCCTTCATGGGACCAACCTAGGCCCTCTAAATGTGGGTGACAGTTGTGTAGCTCTGTCTGTTTGTGATGCCTGTAGCAGTGGGATCAGGTGTTCCTCATGCTTCAGTTGCTTTTTGAAACATATTCCCCATGCTAGAATGCCTTGTGAAGCCTTGATGCAGGGGGAGGAACTAAGTCCTGCCTCAACTTGATATGTAATGCTTTGTTGACTGCCATGGGAGTCCTGTCCATTTCTGAATGGAGGAGGAGGGGATGAATGAGAGGGAGGATGGGAGATAGGGGAGGCAATGGGAAGTGAGGAAGGAGGGGAAACTGTGGTTGGTATGTAAAATAAATGAAAAAAAAAATAACAACAACGAGAAAAAACCAGGCTTTAAGCAAGCCTGAAGAGCATTTTCTAATTAGTGCTTGATGGGGGAGGGACAAGCCCATTGTTGGTGGACCCATTCCTGGGCTGGTGGCTCTGGGTTCTATAGGAAATCAGCCTGAGTAAGCCATGAGGAGCAATCCAATAAGCAGCACTCCTCCAGGGCCTCTGCATCAGCTCCTGACTCCAGGTTCCTGCCCTGTTTGAGTTCCTGTCCTGACTTCCTTCAATACACCCTTTCTTTCCCCAAATTCTTTTTAATCATATTATTTCATCACAACAATAGTAACCCTAAGACAGGTAAGTATATGAATTAAAACTACAAACTGAAATGACAACCTACAGAACAGAAAAACGTATTTTAAAGTCATCTATACGGTACAGCTTTTGTGTTTAGAATAAATAACTGATACAACTCAGGATAAAAAGTGAACCTCAGTCATCTGGTAAATGCAAATTAAATCTACTGTGAAATTCCAGCTCACCCCAGGTAGACTGGCTATAATTAAAATAACTGACAACAAATGTTGCAGAGGATGTGGAAGATGGGGAACATGTATTAACTGCTGCTGGGTTTGTAAATTAGTACAGTCATTATATAGAGCTCGTGGAAGTCCCTCAAAACATTAGAAAATACCACAAGACTCCGCTATTTTACTGGGCACATACCCAGAGATCCTGTACCCTACCATAGAGATATTGGCACTCATGATTGCTACTGCTCTATTCAATATGGCAAGGAGATGAAACCAATCTAGATGTCCATCAACAGAAGAATGCATAATGCAAGTCTAGTGCATATACCAAATGAAATATTATTCATCTCTAGAGAAAAATGAAGTCACCAAATTTACAGGAATGTGGATAGATTTAGAATGTATACTGTTAAATGAGATCACCCAACCTCAGGGGAAAAACACATGTTCTTTCTTGTGTGTGGATCCTAGCCTATATAATGTATGCATGTACATATGTAATTAAATATTCAGAGGTAAAATACAACCTATAGGAACAGGAACATGAAAGGGTAATTTTAGAGTGACAAAATACTCCCTATTGAGTTTACATAAATGCTGTCCTTAGTGTGGTTCCTCTGAATGCTCGCTCTCTCAACATGGAACACGGTTTTGATGTAAAACAGGTTTTTAACAAGCAATATCCACATGTAAATCTGTGCTGCCACTCTACTGGGTGCCCAAATTTGACGTTATGTTTTTCATCTTTTAAATGTCCCTGTACAATGCAGTTCTTGTAAGTGCTACAAACTTAGGGTGCATTATTCTTTAAACAAGAAATCCAGCTATAACAATTACAGTGAGTAAAGGCTTCCAAAATATGCTTAAATCATCATAATTGGGGAATTTATGAAAATTCCAGGGAATGGTAAGTTACCGCCCCTGAATCTCCAAGCCTAACACACCAGAAACCAACACTGATAAGTTTGCAGGGTTTGGTTTGGTTTTCGTTGTATGTTGTAAGTGTAGAATGTGTTATCATTAGTGAATGAATGTACTTTACTTTAAAATTTAAAGTTGGAATAAAATGATTTTAGAGTTATCAAAGGACTTGAATATTCCTGCCATGAACAAGATACACACACACACACACACAAAATCTAATAAAAACACATGGGAAAGTGGGCTCAACATCATCAGTCTTCCTGGAACTGCAGATCAAAATGGCAGTGAGTCTCACCTCAGCTATACTAGTCTCCAGCAAAAATCTACCTAGATCCTCAAAGGCAGCTGCACACTGGGAGCTTCCTGGGAAACTTGGTGCTCAGCTTCATTCCAGCATTTGGAGCTTGGCTACCATCCTTGCAGTAGCCCTAACATGAGCTGCAGGTCTCCTCATGAACAACAGGGGGCGACAATAAAACACATAATCAACAGGGAAAACTGCTTGAGGTGTGACCCTATCTTGCAGCCTTGTTTCCAACCCAGGTCCAACAGACCTAGGCTCCCTCACATAATCGTTTTCTTTGTCACTGAGACCCCACTCTGCAAGGAGACCCTATTTAGTCCCCTCCCTTCTCTTATCATCCATGAGGAAAGACAGGAAGATCACAGGGCAATCACCAAGGCTAGCAAAGACAACTCAGAAGGTCAGGAAGGGCATGGGCAGACCTGAATCACATTCAGCCAGCGAAGGAAGTTGGGGGTGGAGGAGTCTCCCTGGTGCCCTCCATAAGAAGCTGGAGCACAGGGTCCTCTTCCTAGGACACACAGGTCATCTCCTCCTGCAGAGCAGAATATGAACCCCTGAGATAACATGTATTCCTTCATTAGACACCTGACTGGTGACACTAGTGATGACAGGTCTGGGCCCTCCACAGGCATCACTCAGCTGGACCTTTTCCTGCCCCTAGAGTAGACTGCCACTCTCTGCTGAGAATAAATCCCACCTTCCCTGAGCATTGAGATCACAGGGCAGACTGGGCTCTGCTAGGTTTTGGGGTCTCAAGGAAATACACTCTTGGCTATAGGAAGTTCAGGGACAAGGCCATGGGGTGAGCTGCTGGTCTCTCAGGATACAGGACACTTCTCAGCCTTTTGGCTCAAAGTATGTTCTAGAACACTGAACAACAAAGGAATAGAAGGATGGGAGGCAGCACTCACAGAAGAACAGAGCAATGCACACACACAGACTCCACCCCCAGCCCATCTGACTACAGGAAGTGCCCTCCTCTGGGAGGAGGCTGAGGTCTGGGAATAAAAGCAGAGCAGACACCAGAGGAGCCCAGCTTGGCAGCAGCTTCAGAGACAAACCTCCTCTCCAGAGGAAGAGCCTAGCCCACAGCAGAGACCATGGAACTCACCTCAGCCTCTCTCCACAAAGCACAGGTCTCCTGGAGGGGACTCCTGCTCACAGGTGAGGAGACATTCCTCAGGAGTAGAGAGTTGGGGAGCTCATAGACTGGATGGGGGCTTCTGGGAGAGGGAAAGAGCCTGAGAAATGACATCTGGCTCTGCTTGAAGCCTGAGACCATCAGGAAGCTCACAGTGGATGGGAATCAGAAATTGGAGGAGGAAAAACTCATTTGCTCCCCATTGTAGATTTATCAGCACTGGCCACTGTATCCTGAAGACTCAAGTTGACAACTCCATCAGGGTGACTCTCCAAGTAAAACTCAAAGTGGGCGAGTAAACAACATCATTATGTAGGACCCTGAGAAATCTGCAAATAAACCCCAGGCTCTGGGGCACTCATTTGCTCACAGGTATCTGAGCCTGTTTGAGGTAGAGAGGTTTAAACCAAAATCAAACTAGTCCTCCTCACAAAGCCCTGCTACTATTTGACAGGAAGACAGAGCAGCAAGGACATCTAGAAGGTGGGCCCAGGGGTTGACAAGCACTTCAGAGGAAACAGAGCAGGGACCGGTCAGAATGTGAAGGCACAGAGTCTTTTAGAGGAGGAGGTCAGACAAGACATGCTACACTATGGTTTCTGAGTGTGAGTAGGGATCTGAGGGCAGTGAGGGGTGAGCTGTGTAGACACTATGAAGCCAGTTTCATAAAGTGGAAAGATTCAGGGGTACTGATGAATGGGGGTGATGCTGCTGACCTCCCCACAACAGGACACATAAACAAAGGCTGAGAGTTAAATATTCACATTTCAAAATTCTACCAAAAGCAAAAGTCCTGATAATGATAGATATTTTTCTCTCTTCCCTCTTAGTCTCTCTTTTAACCTACTGGAATTCTCCCATCACTGCCCTGTTCGTCACTGTTGAAGCAATTCCACCCATTGTTGCTGTAGGAAATAGTGTTCTTCTAGCTGTCCACGATATGCCATTGGATTACGGTTTGTTTTCCTGGTACAAGGAAGTAAACTCTGGGAAGCAATTTATAGCCTCATGTACTCCTCGGCCGAATTCAATAGCACTTGAGGCTGAATTCCGTGATAAGGTGGAAATGTACAGAAATGTATCCCTGCTCATCAGGAATGTCAGTAAGGATGAAGGAGGAAGATACAGAGCAAAACTGACGGATCTAAAACTTGATAATCGTTATTATTCTTTGGATATTAAAGTATTCTGTAAGTAATTCTCTGTAACCTCTGGGTCATGGGTGGAACTAATCCTACTTCACCTATAGAGCTGTCACTCCTGGACGACTCTGTGTCATGGTCCCAACATTGTGATACAAACATTTAGTAAAGGACACACAGTGGAGAAAACAGCCATAAATCAGGATGCCTCACTTGAATCCACCCTCAGAGAAGAGGGGTTGAGGTAACTGAGCTCAGGCATGTTAGACTCTTCCCAGGGTCTTAGATGCTCATCATGACCATGGCCTTGAGGAAGACCCTTCAGGACTCAGTAAGGACCTGGCTGAGGAAACCATGGGAGTCTCATAGAAAGATGACCCCCCCCCCTGTAGCAGGAATCTTAAAAGTTCTTATTAATAAAATCAAACCCGAGGTGAGTTATTGGGGTCCATGCTGGTAGATCAGAGAGACAGAACAAGCCACAGCTATCTCACCTCACCGGATCCTCAGCTGGTCTCCTCAGACTGGAGGCTTCTGAGTCCTCATCCCAATGGCTCTCAGCTGAATTGCTGATCAAAAGCCTGAATGCTTAACCAGCTAAAATCTTCTAGTTTCTGGTCCTCAAGCCTTATATATCTTTTTGCTTTCTACCACCACTCCCTGGGATTAAAGGCTGGCTTTCTGGGATTAAAGGCGTGTCACCATGCTTGGCT